CGTTATTTCAGAGCTTTAAATGTAATGCCATTATATTACTCATCAATGTTTGGGTGCTGGGAACGCATGTCATTGACATCCCATTAATTTACATTATAAAAGAGTTTCAATTTACGCCGATTCCGTTTACGCCGGTTCGTCCAGGAACGCATCCCCGGCGTAAAACGAGGTCTACCTGTACAGTTGTAAAATGGAAAAGAACACAATGTGGATAATATCCATCGCCTAAATCATTTCGATTGAAACCACAGTATTTGAAGAGTTGGTTCTGCTTCGGTATTCAGGTGGGAACACAAAATTCTACTCTGTTGGGTCCCTTATCTAAATGTCCTAACTCCTAAGGCGATGGTTATGTTCAACAGAACACACGCTGTCAAGATTTAAACTGTTGTAATCCCGTGGGTCTCAGGTAATGTAAATAATGCCAATTCCAAGTATTAAAGCACATACTTTGCTTGTTTTGCAGGGGATGGAGTGACAGACAGCAACAACACAGCGCCCTCATTTCCACCTCCACCACCACCGCCGGGCCTTTGCTCCTTACCTACAGTACGACTCAGCACAGAAGTAAGTTTCAAATTCTTTGTCAGTCTGTTCTTCTTCAGACATTTCCTAATGTTTCTTTTTTGACAACATGTGTAAACCTAAGATGGTGTAGTTTGGCAGAAGTTGGCAAACTACAGACTACAATCAACAACTACAGGAGCCAATCACAGAGTCAGCACCACAACAAAAACAACAACAATCATTCAGAAAATATTTGGCCAACATTCCGGGCGAACAGAGCATCAGGGAACTGCAGAAGACCGCCATTTTGGTATCTTCATACATCATTCGAAAGACGCTGTCGTAAAATATAATTAACCCTCACAATAAAACTAAACATGTAACACATATTAAAAATAAAATGTATTTCGGAAATAGCTGCTGCACTATGTAGCTCAGGGGCAAGGTTTGTCTCAGGTACATAGAAGTAAATACCCTATAAAATGGTGAATAGATGGAATGTGCCGATGTTGTGTTACGCAGTAAAACATTACTTTTATATTCCTCCAATTTTAATGATCTCTCTGCGACAGACCAGAGCATTTGCCATCGTTCATGGAGCGTTAAACTGTTTATTTAGACTGTCTTACCCAGCCTGTGGTTCGGAAATCTTGGATTTGTCTAATCGTGTTAAGTATTGGTTATAATGGAAAGTATATACAAGAATACAGAGTCCCATTGCAATTCTGATCTACTGACTGAAGATACTACCGGTTTTGTCATACTGTGATGCTGATACACGCAACATTGTCTCCAGATCCCTGACACAAGAAGAGGTGCAGGGTACGAGCCGCCTGCTGCAATACAGAATGCAATGATGACCAAGGACAAAAAGCCATTCACTTACACACCTGGGGGGTTGGACCTGTCACAGATCCGGAGCCCCCGCATGCAGAGGCGAATCACAAGGAATGCAAATGCTGAGGGCGTGAGCGAACAGCCGCAGGTACGCACGATATTGTTCTTAAAATGTACCACGTAACTCCGCGTCTCTGAACTCGTAAAATATCTCCCCCCCCCAAAAAAATGTTGATTTATGATCTATGAAACTTATCAAATAGTTCGATAGTGTTTTTATTTATTTAAACAAACTTTATGTAAAATTTTTACATAGGATATGTTGTATGTGCATTGCAAGAAACAAAGAACTGAAATGAAAGATTTTAAAAAATAAAATATTTACATAAACACGAAATAAACAATGGTCGATTATATAATATAAAAAAATTAGCATAATAGAATAATAAGAGCCTAATTATCAGTAAGCAAAAAATAAATTATTTTTAATTTTTGAAGCAAACTCTGCTTAGGGGTTAAAATATAAAGAGCACATCTTTCTTTCAGGAAGTGTTCTTCAGAAAAAAATTGTAGTTTACGAAACAATTTGAAACAGAGTTCCTAAAATTTGTCATCTGTCAAGCTTTATACTCACTTAAATCGATTTGCCAAAACATTTTATGCCTGAGCTTTGAAAAAGGATGTCTCAGATTTTGTATGTGTTACTCTTTATTTGGAATAAAGATGCATAGTTTGTACTGTAGTCATCAGACATCTTGTGAGCTGTGCCTAGTCCCCAGGCTGCAACGGATTCAGCACAGGGCAGGCGCTGTCGTAGCAATATCTAAAAATTCTCCAAATAGTTAATATATTTAATTTTTTTTAATATCCTTGTTTCCTTTCCAGACCACAGGCCTCAAGACATCTCCATTGGTGCAGCCATCACCACAAGGCCCCCTGCCACCTTCTGCCCTTGCTGCTATGCAACCCCAGATGGCAGTGCCTGTCTTCCCAACAGGTGGTGTTCAGCTGCAAACTACTACTGCACCTCCGCCACCCCCACCACCACCTCCACATCCAGGCCCTGCCCCTGTAGAGCCTTCCCCAGCCCCTGTAATCAGGCCAGTACAGAGTCCAGAACCCGTAAAACCAAAATCCCCACCAGTATCACCGCCTGTCCAAGTTCAGAACGAGCCTGGAAGTATCTACGTACCCCCTGTGACGAGCAGATCGCAGGTGGGCTCCCTGTACATCCCGCCCATCAACAACACCTCTCAGCAGGAGCCGGTTGCAACGTCACCACAGCGCCAGCAGACACCAGTTTCTCCACTACCCACCCTGAACAAGGCACCGACACCCTGGATAAGCAAGCATCAGCGGCAGCAACAGCAACAACAGCAACAGAGCACCCCGTCGTGGGTGAACAGGGAGGAACCTCAGCAGGCTGCAGGAACTACTCGCATTATCCCCATACAGGTGTGCAGTTTGAATCCCTGCAGAGGCAAGGCACATCCAGAATAATCTCATAGGCTCATCCAGCCTCCTGTATCCAATGAGAACTGGGGGCTCTTTCTTTGATGGTAAAATGGATGGAGCAAGAAGCTGACCACTCCCATCCATCTAATGCCAAGCACAGCATGGTGCTTAGACACAGGGGCATTAGTGGAGTGAGAATAGTTCTGGGGTCTACGAAGCTTCCTGTACGTTGGCTACTGCAGTTTATTTCCTGTAGAGTAAAGTAGTCAGAGCATGAAATTAACCACTTACATCCGCCTAAGAGTCCAGGTCTAGAATGTTTTAATGAAGTGCTCAGAACAAATGCGTGATGGGGAGGACTCATAACCTGCCTTTGATTCATAGCCCTGATGACGGAGGCAGTATGACCTCTGAAACGTTGGTTAACATCGACCAGACTGCACAGCGCAACAACCCAGAAGACAGAAATCTTCAAATTTATGTCTTTACAACTAAAATACATATTTATGATTAAGATCTATACCAATGGTGAAGATCTATTGTATTATGTTGACCAATTTAAGAAGCGAAAAGTCCAGTTCAAAATTCAAATCACAACTAAAAACTTAATAACTTTTCTATAATTTTAATTAAAAAAAATTATTCGTCTTCTTCTGTCACAGAGTATGTGATTTATTCTCTTCTAATTCATAACCATTGCTCAAATTATGAATGTCTGGATGGGGCAACTGACCCATCAAAAAGCATTTTTATGTGCAGGAAAACAAGTTTAAAGAAGAATATGGGCATTCATCCATGCCCCAATACAATTCACAGCCACAATTCCAATGTTTGAAACATACGATGATCAATAATCTTATAACCCGAATTTATAGCAGAAAATCATGTGAAGTCCTTCATGCTGCTTCTTGGAACCAGATTATATTTGGACATACCTGAGAAATAACAACTTGGACTACAGAAAATGTGTCTCATCTTGTAGGTGGAGGGACGAAATGAACCTGCTCAACCACCACAACTACCGAAACCACAGCTACAACAACAGGCAGCTCTTAATCAACCACAAACAAGGATAATCCCAATCCAAGTTGAGGGCTCTGCAACCATCGCTAACAACACATCTAGCCAAACCAAGCAACAGGCATCGTGTCAACAACAGAGGAAACCTGTCTACGTCCACAACAAATTCAATCCTCCATCTCCACAAACACCAGTGCCAGCCTCTCCAGCCCCGTACAATCACGACGACAAGTGAGTTCGTTATCCTCTAACTTCATACACCACGGATCGTATCAACAGGCATAATGTCAGCATTAACTTTCTTACTCGAGTCCACTTCAGAAATGTAACCTCCAACTCAGTTTACTTTATGAAAGCTCAGTCAGTACAGTGACTGGCTATGGGCTCGACGACCGGGGTTCGATCCCCGACGGGGGGCAGAGGATTTTTCCTCTAGCCTCTGCATCCAGACCGGCTCTGGGGCCCACCAAGCCTCCTATCCAATGGGTACCGGGGTCCTTTCATGGGGATAAAGTGTGGCTGGGGATGACGATGATATCCTGAGCCACTGCAAAGGTGATTTCCAGAACTCTTGCAGAATTTTTATGACTGCCCAGTGACAAGTCTTTACATTTTTGAACTTCACTGTAATGTTTTAATGACTACTTTACATCTCACCTAATACAATACTTAATACATATCAATACTGAAAAATAAATGTTACATTATTTCATATTATAATTGGAGTACTGAAAAATTAACAAAATAAAAGTTCTAAACAAATACAGCAATATTACTGCTGAGAATATTTTTCATAAGACTATAAGCCATAAAACACACTCTACAGACTGTGAAGAACTTGTTGAATTATGATATGAATGTTTTATATCTTATAATTATTATTGTTGTTTATTACATTTCCAGTCAATCGGATCAGAACTCAAAGCAGCATCAGCACCAACAGAGCTGGGGTCCTTCTGGAGGAAATGGTGGCCCCACCCAGTCACGATCTTTCCGAGTGCTTCAAAAAATTACCGACACAGATAACAGCGAAGGCAAGTCAAACATACATATTAGGCTTCCGGAGCTGAAGTCAGCTTCTACAGCTCTTGGAACTTGTACAGATGCACAGTCCAAAAGATGGCCAAACAAATTCCGAGTCAGAAAGCAAATAATTTTCAGGATCCCAGAAAAAATTAGCTACTTGATGCCCACTGGTTGATAAAGATGTTGTTTAACTTAAAACTTTTGTCAGTTCATACTGGCTGATATTTAGGCAGATGAAGGGAATCATAAGCAAAATTTCTATCGAAATTCAAATATAAATTCTGAAGATTTTACAGTGACTAAATGCAATAAACTCTTCTTGGATGATCAACTGCATTGATGCGGAATAAAATGCTAATGTTTCAGAGATTCTGTGTCATCAGTGAGATAAAATACATTAACATGTCTACTTTTAAGTGAGTAGAATGCAATCTATCTTCGGAAAGAGTAAAACTCTCTGAATGTAAACACAATCAATTAAAACTAAAATTCTGTGTTGTATGTGGCCTGGGAAGTCATGGCACACTACTGGCAGACGAAATACTTCGAAACACTGGAAGTTAGTAATAATAAAACAAAGAAATTAATAATAATACAACAGATGGCAGAAGGCAACAAAGATGCATGAGAATTATCTTTGTACTAAAGACCAGTGGTCTCCACTTGGGATTATGGATGTGCACAGTGTCAATTGTCTACCAGGCTGTCTATGTCACAGGGATTTTCTTAACTCTCGTGTACAGTACATTTTCATATATATATATATATATGAACAATATAACTATGTCACTGACATAATGTTTTTTTCATCACCAAGTTTGCTGAGAATACCCCTTTCTTTGTTCCCAAGATCCTTTATGGGCAATATGATGCTACAGACAGCTACTTTTCCAGGTATCGATAATTGTGTTAATTTGTCTACCCGAACAGGTGAGTCAGATGCTCCAGTTCAGGAGTATGGCCCTCCAAACAGTGGAGGTGGTCAATATAACAGCCAAGGGGTGCCAGCACAGCAGCTGCGGAAGTTACAACTCAGTGAAGACGATCGGGCACTCATGAACAAGTTCAGGGCTCAAGGTGAGGCTCTCGCCAAAAGCTCAATCATTCTCTAAGCACAAATCGAAACTTCTACATCAAACTGACACATCTATATACAGCTTGGATGCCAAACAAACTCATCATCACCCCATTAAAGAACATTGATTTCCAACAATATTGAGGTACCAAACCGTGCTAAAGAATCAAGTCATAGTTAACGAAGTATCATTAAGCAGATCATAAACATCTCTGGTACACTTTATGTTTTTAGATATGTCGTTCAAACTCGTAGCATGGTTGGTTTATGAATAGTCAAGTTTGTGCTACATATTAATACGGTAATGCCTATCATAAATGTTTTTACACAAAATTTAAAAATGTTGAGGGTGGCACTAGATTAGTTCTTATTACAACTAAAGTTATCAGCAACATGTAAATATGTTAGTCAACATTAAATTGATAGGGGCTGATTCTAAAGAGATGTTCCTTAGAAGTCTTGTCATTTGTAAGATGGATTATTTATAATGCAGGCTTGCATAACTGTAAAGGAGCTACCTAGTGTGATTTATACCAAACCGAAACATAAATTTGTGTTTTAAAAAATGTCCATTCTTTCTATATTTTTGTATGTTTTGTTCTGTAAAAAGATATACATTTAAAAAGAATTTTACTGTCCTATTCGATCAATGTCAAGTCGCTGGTTGACCAATATACATTTAAAAAGAATTTTACAGTCCTACTCGATCAATGTCAAGTCGCTGGTTGACCAACAACACTGTGTCCACGATAAAGGTTTTGAACTTTTAAAATAAATATCAGATTGTCTGTGAACTGTAAGAAATTTCAAGGAAGTGGTTGTATCAGTAGACATGAAGGTAATATCCCAACATTTGCCTGGGAAGGACTGAAGAAAATCATGGAAACTTTAAAAATCTCAAGAAGAATATTCGGTCTACTGGCCAGGATCTGAAGTATGTACTACCTGACTAGAGAGATCAAATGCAAAGTGATAAATGAAGAAAGGCAATAGTTATGTTCTGGAATGTTTAAGTGGTTCATACTCGCATTCAATCATATTGAATGAAAGAAAGAGATTGCCTTTAAATGACCATACCCACGCTTTGCTGCGTTTGTGAATGTCCCTTGATTTATTCAGTTTCAGAGGAGATTCCAACAAATGAGGAAGAGAATCCACGTTATAGGGGTGGCCACATTCCCTCTCGTGTTTTCCGGATGCTGGACGAGAGTGGTACAGACTTAATTCTGTTTAGTAGTGGTGGATATTCTCTTTGCAGCAAACATGCCTGAGGTGGCGGGTTTTCTGTGCACAAATGAATGTTCTGCATGTCATGGTGTTTATAATTACATGTTCTAATGAGTATCTCTGGGTGGTTAAATACTGTACATGCCACAGTTGCAGGCAATCTGAAGTGGAACACATAATTTTCTTGTGTTCTAAGTAATTTTAAACCTTCAAAACAAATTTAAAAATTCCCTCGTCCTATGTAATGTGATATCTTGTTTGTGCTTCATCTCACCTCTCTTTATAAAATATTTCCAGTGTGCAAGCAGTGAGTACTAGCAATTATTATCCTCAAAAATGTTGATTCTGACATATAAGTGATATCCTGAGAGCTGGGAAGCTGTTTACAACTTTGCATATTCTTACATGTTCAGACTTAATACAAATGCCCTGACTGCATAAAAAAAGTGTACAATATTGTACTGTAATGACACGTTACCCACACATGGTCTATTATTATCAGCATTAAAGACACAATACCTTCGATGGAAAAGTAGTCTTTTGTGGCAATTTCACTCCCACTCTGCACATTTCTATCATTTCCCCTTCTGGAGTCATTAACATGAATGTTGGTGTATGTGTTATGTACTTCCTCCTCAGTGGACGAGGACAGTTTCCTTCACACTGAGTCGGACCCTAGGTACAGGGGTGCTGCGATACCTTCAAGAGCTTTCCGCATGTTGCAGAATATGACAGATGGAACCACAGACTACAGTGAGGAGGGTATGGCTGCTTGTGTGTAGCTTGTATGTCCCAGTGTGTGACAGTGTTGCTAACTCTATTCCTTTCGTTAACCTGGAATCCAGTTATGCCAGTTAAGCAAAATTTTGTGCTGTTAACTATCCTGAATATGTAGGATTTGAAGTTTTCACCGCAATGAGTCTGAAGATTGCCGTCTTCTGGGTTGTTGCACCGTGTAGTCTGGTAGATGTTTACCGACATTTCAGACGTGCCTCCAAAGAACATCCCAGTGTAAGCCAGATGATTACTGCTAACTATTTATTTCTTTAAAGAAGTAAACCCATTGCTTGGCACTGTGTTGGAGATATTCTGAGTTAGAAAGAAGACAGTTTTGATTTACTACTACTCTGCGTTAATGTCAATATTGGTGGTGGACAAAATATGTTGTAACAGGGTTTGACTTTACTTTCTTCATGCATGCTGTTTTTGAGGAAGTATAATTCCATGGTATAGGACTTTACTTCAACACTTCATCTTCTGACAAAGAAATTCCTTGCTTCCACGGAACCAACTCAAAAGATTTATCATGTTCATAAAATCCAACAATTTAAACTCTACCCAGTTCTATCTAGTTCGTGCCTTTTCATATTGTTTCTTGAATATGCAGTGTTTTCCTTCTGAAGTGATAATTTCTCTCCAGGGTTTCCAAAACGTGTGTATCTCAGTTCTTGTGTGTGCGCGCTGCATGCCCTGCCAATCACATCCTTCTACCTTCTTGTCCATAATTTAATCGCTCTAACAACATGCCACTATAGGCCTTCATCCATTCAACTTTTAAACACTGTCCTAAAAAATTAACATGGTGGTCATGCAAATGACAGTGTCATCTAGGCTCTTGAAATGTTTTATGGGTATTATTATTCTAGGAAAATTTAAACCAATAATGTTGCTACTGTGCAGAATATTTTTTGGTGTGATGGTTGGTGAAGATTCGTAATTAGATATGAAATTTATATGTTGACATATTGCAAACACATCAGCCCATGGTGGTATGCAAGGTCTAGTTCTTTGGGGCCCCAAAAAATGCTTCTCTTTAACAACTGCTGGAAACTGATATACAGACTTACAGATATTGTGGTTTCTGCACTTTGTAGCAGCCCCCCCTCCTTTGCCTGCATGACCGAACATATCTCTTTCTGGCTTCTTGCTATTTCATGCCTAAATAGAACAGACCAAATATAACGCTTCTGTTATTTCTTCCAAAAACAGGATCACATTTATACCTCTCAATACTGATGCTCAGTGAAATATCTATCACACTTTTAATCAGTGATCTCAACCTTATCGTTAATACGCCTGGAGTCAGCCAAAATCTACTCTATCTATCTTTTAAAATGAATACACAAATTTTATTATTGTAATTTCTTAAAATACAATTTAGAAGATGAACCATAAAAATGTGCCTTTTATGAAACTGATGAGGTATCATCATTGCCATGCCTTGAATAATTATGCCAAATTAAAATTAATTTCCTATCACAAAACCCTTAAAACACATTATTTATTAATAATGTGAACCCTGTTTCTGGGTAGGTTGTAGACAAGCATTCTGTTATAGTTAATGCTAAGAAGAATCTTGTTTTGATAGAAGAAGACAAAGATTCTTCTTACTGCTATTTCTGGGTGACGGTACACTGTAGGAAGATTTTCTTGGACTTTCCTAATTGAATATTCTAAGGAAAAATTAAGGTCACAACTGGTTTTGGTATGTCATCTGGTGAATGGGGGTAGGGGATCATTGAAACTGGGTAATTTTACTTGTGTTGACAAAGCCTGTCAATTTTTATTACTATAATTTTATAATTATACAGTATTAGGAACCAATTTGAGACATTGAGTTTTATTCATAGCCTACAATAAAAATGTAACTTGTGATTGTATTCTAATATTTTGAAAGCTATGATTAGCATTATGAACACAAACAGGGGTATAAATATTTATAATATTAATTAACAATTAAGACTGTCACACAGAACGCTAGTTTGTTCATGGAATTTGCTATAATATTTCATTTGGTGGATAAATTTTGACATCACTGATCTTAAGAGTACATGTGTTCATGGTCTCTGATTATATGCCATAGTCATTCATGGTTATAGAGTAAAATTCTGAGGTTTCAGCGGCAGAGGCAGCCAAGACATGCCATTTATTTTATTTGTATTAATGCAGCTGATAACATTGGAAACACTAGTACCTAATGATGGAAAAAGGGACAGTTATCGAAGCATTGGATGTTTACTCTGTATGGTTGTGGTTCATCACCCAAGAAAATACTGTATCTATAAGCCATGAAAACTTCAGATTTTACATGACAGAATTATTGTCTGAAGAATGAATCAATTACTCATTACAGCAAACTTTGTAACACGTAAGCTACTTTCCAGATTACTTCATCTTCTATGACTGATACTTTGGAAATGACAGTCATTACATTGCTTATGGTATTGAAGTGAAAGAAAATCCATTGTTTTAAGGATCATTACTAAAAAGCCTGGATATCATATTTGTTTTGATTGGATGTTTCTAATTGCGATATTTCTTGCAGTACCCAGGGGCCCAGCAGTGGCACGCGGCCCTCAGGCAAGACCACTTTCTGTTCAGCAAACACCTTCAGGTAGTATAAGTTTGTTAGCAAAATGGTGAAACTCCGACACACACAATAATAGGTAGTGCTAACCTCATTTATTGCAACTAGCCAGGAAAGATGAAACCCAGAATTTCTTGATCTTTCAACGCATTTAACTTAATGTGAGATCTAAAATTCAGATCACCATTCTTCCAACAGTCTGACGAAAGATCGCAACAAATTGTTTTCCTCCTATTTCTCTCACTGGTGAGATTTTTCAGCGAAATTTTGTCATAGACATCCTTCATATTCACTTTTCCTATTGATCTCATACAATCAAACCTGTTAATTTTGTTTGGCAGTGTGTTATTACTTTCAGAGAACATCTGATATAAACCTGCGTTAGTAACAGGTTGAATTATCACACAGAAAATGGAGTTTGGTGCCTTCTGTGCACTTGCCTTTGTTGTGTGTCTGACCCTGAACACTGAAGAGTGTCAAATCTACATTATTTGTTGATGCTGTGTTCAGGGGTAGTATCTTAAAGTAATACCATCTTCCAAATTTGTATCTATTCATTATTCACAAGTATCTGCCACTTCATTTGATGCAGTACAACCTAAGTAACTGATATAGCATTATTAAATGATCTAAGAATCAGTTTACATTACTGAATAACATTACATGAAGATTTCTGTCTTCTAGGTTCTGTGTAGTCTGGTCAATGCTAACCAACGTTTCAGAGGTCATACTGCCTCCATCATCAGGGCGGAGGCAGTATGACCTCTGAAATGTTGGTTAACATCGACCAGACTACACATTGCAACAGCCCAGAAGACAGAAATCTTCATACTCACCGCTGTGAAAACCTCAAATCTTACAACACTACATGAATTTAGTTCTAATAGCAATTTCATTCAAAGTTTGGAGATAACACTGATAATGAAATTCTTTCAGGGGATGGAACACCTCAGCCATATATTCCTCCTTCTGAACAGCAAGTGCCAGAGCCCAGAAAATACACAGGTGGAGCAATTCCGTCACGTTCCTTCAGGATGTTACAAGCGATGACAGCACCTGAGAACTATGGTAAGTGCACCTTGCCTTCTGATTTCACTCTGTTTCATGGTACATGAAGTGTTATAGTAGAAACTCAGTTCTCTTCCTTGAAGTTTAATTATGAACAGGAAGATTCTAATAGAAAGAAAAGTACATGTACTCTGCATCATTACTGATATATACTGGTTCTGAACCTTTTGGTGTTCATGGCACACTTGGGATATTAATTTTTCCCTTTTATGGCACATCAGAATTAGAAGACAGAACCTAAAATTTATATTAAGAGCACACATATTTTTAAGTAATGTCATTTATTATATAAAAATGTAATAAAGTTTTGATACAAATATCAATTTAAAAAGCTTAAGCAAATGCAGTAATTTCCAAACTTTATATAACGGTGCCCCCTCAGCTTGGCAAAGACTTCAGTGACCCCCCTCCTCTTCTTAATTTTGTCTGTGTATATAATGAACACCTTGAAGAGTTTTCATTTTATATCTTTATCTGTTAATAACATTTATCAAGATTTTATAAATATTATTAACATTTTACAGAGAGGAGGCCACACTGAAATTTCTTGCCCACTTGTTTGTTAAATTAATTTTATAATGCAGCAGCCTATTGGCTATTGTAAACCTTAACTCTCTATGCAATTTTCCATTTATGTCTACTTTTGCCAGTACGTGTGTTGGTTTTATGTTTACACGGTTTTTAATTTTTATAATTCTTGACTTGTTTCTGTTCATTCTTATATGGCATCACAAAGGAAAGGTGGACTTTCATACCATGATAAAGTACACACTACTATTTTTTTTCCAGAACATAATTGCCTTGGTTAGAATCGGCCTGAATTACAAACAATAACGTGATATTAATATTTTATTTTTTAATTTGCCTGTTCAACTTTATTGTGCACACTTAATATACATTGTGGACCCACATCAAATAATATCCTGACCAGATGAATAATTATTGTTCAAGAATGAGCATGTAACATGCATTTGTTAAAATCTCCAAATATATAACTGCATATCAAAGGAGAGTGGCGATACGTCAGTTGAGAAAAATTATATTTCATTATACAGATGTATAATTCAGCTATGATATTTACATGACTGCTGGTCATCTATCAAAAAATCTTTTATAACTAAAATTGTCTTACATCACTTTATTAACCATTCTTTACATTTAAAGGAATATCTTAATTCACAAGTCCTTCCTTTATATTTGGCTTCCATCTCAAAAGGTATTGACAGGATCTACCCATCAAAGTATTTTGAAAGTGAAATGTGCAGATGGATATAACCACGTCATGTAGTGTATGATTTTTGTCATATACCTAATAACGCTACTGATTCAGATCTGTGTACTTCACCATAAAGCATGACATACAATTCTGCTGGCAAACTCTTCTTTTAACATGTTTGGTCTTTTTTGTCGAGAGGTTTTTGTTCGCTAAAAGCAGTTCTTAGTCTAATCATATCTCAAAAAAGATTCCTTCGTTCATCTAATTTTCATAAAAATGTTCTGACACTTTATTTACTTAGGCTTGACATAAAAATGTGCATCTGTTGTATGTGTAAGTTATTACCATTACGATTTTTCACTTCTCCCTTAATGCAAGTCTGTCAGACATGTGTTTGTGGACCAGTTTGATATCGTGGCTTTGAGAACAGGGCTACATCATCAGAAGACTAAGAGGGTTTGAAAGGGTATGAACTGGAAATTTATTTATGTATTATACAATTAGTTTAAAATGTTATAATAAATTTATATGGAGTTATTTATTTATGACTTAATTTAAAAATTGAAATAATTAAATTCTAGCAATAAAACAAACAAAAAAACATAGGGGAGGGACTCTGAGGTGAACAAATAATCTTATCTCATACATGGAATTATATTCCTGAAAATTATGAAAGAAGTTCTATAATTTTTGGCATGTCTACTGAAAAACTTTCTTGATACAGTGCTCATAAAAAGTTATATCTTCTGACATCAGTGCCATGTGACAGTTTTGTACGGCCTTCTGCGTCATATAAATAATGAAGCTCTGGGAATCAGAGAATTACAGTCTGCAATCAAATAATATTTATTAATTTTGAATTACATACTGTCATGTTTTGAACAGTTTCTCAATGACAGTTTCTGCTTTCAGACAGAGACTTACAGCTTACTGGGCTATAGATTCGTAGCCACTAGCAGAGGGTATTCACACTTATCACTTGCGAAATAATTGTTATTAACATGAAAGCAGAATAATTAATTCAGGATGTGATGTTTGCCTGATTTCACATTACCTTACTTTCATGGAAACTTCTGTTAAAAAAATAAATGAAAGTTAATTCATCTCTAAATGTTATTGACGATGACAGTTAAACTCGGCAAATGAAAGTTACATGAAATGTGTTCTTACTTCCTGCAATGATTGTGAATAAAGTAGGCAGAGTAAGGTAACAGAACAGTAATGCATTTGACTCATGTTTGGGATCCACCTGGTTCTAAAGGGGACAGCTTTCCTGAGATGTTCATGGTTTTTCTCAGTCCCTTCATAAGATGCTGGTACAGCACCTTAAAAATAAGCCATGACTACCTACTCCTCAATCCTTCCCAAACCATCATATACCAAATAACATGAGGTTAATACAGTATCAATAAGTAACCCATAAACCATCACCAGACTGCCTTTGTACAAAGTATAAACTGCCTCAAATTTATTTGATAAAATAAGGAACGTACAATGCGTCCTGCGCCGTAGCCGCGCGATCTGAGGCATCATGCTTCGGACTGGCGATACGGAATGTGCGCTGGTTCGAGTCTCGGGGGAGAAGAAATTTTCTCTTGAGCTTTCGACCAGTGTATGGGACCGGTGCCAACCCAGCATTGTGAGGAAATTGGGGAGCTACAATAAGTAGCGTAATCCGGTCAGGAAAGCTAGCAATGGCTTGGGGTTCGTCGTGCTGACCACATGTCACCCTATATCTGGTTGGATGATCGTTCACCTCTGCTTAGGCATGTGAACGTGAGGCCAGCAGCCAGCTAGTCGGCTTTGGCTCTCTGGAGCTGTTAAGCCAAGGATTTAATTTTTAAGGAATGTACAATAACTGTGAATGTTGAATTGAGTCTCTGTTATTGCACTGTGCCAAGGGGAACATGTTAGCTGGTAGTTACTCTGCTTGATCTCTAGCACTTTTTACTAGACAGATGGATTTTCTACTTTTTAAGGTGCATTTGCTCTGTGTTAATCTGGAGTTGTGGCTCATGTACTCTCATCACTATTTTGTACTCATGTTAAGTATGACCAGTGTGCATTGCTTCATGTTATGATGATCACATGTTAATTTTAACATATGACATACTGAGTGCAGTGATATGAATAAGACATATTGTAGGATACATTCAATACAAAATGTATTATTCAGTCATACTACAGAAACAGAAATTGTACAAGTAACAGAAGTTATGTGTTAAATCACTTTTAATTTGTATTTCTTCAAGGAAACCTTAGCGCAATAATACCTAGGCTTAATTTCTGGTAAAGAATTAGTTTTCTCTTGGGAGTAATAATGTGATGACCAACTTCCAAGTGATCAAAAATATTATCTACAGAATATATAGTATGCTCAGTATAATATCCAGAATGCTTGCAAGAGAGGAGACCTGAAAACCAAGTGAAATTAAATGAAGTAAACATTGGCAATTAGTTATAAATGATCTCGTCGCTGTTATTTTTTTCTTCTTTATAATATTATCTGTTATAGCAACTGTTTCATCATCAGATGGGCGTGAAACCCCTGCCTCACTCTCTCACCAAGGCTATGGCGGGAATAATAGGGGTCATTGGGCTCATTATGATCCTGGTTACTGGGGCCCTGAGGCTTGGTGGGGCTGTTATCCTTCTCCTGCACCTGACATGCTTGAGAATAGAGAGCAGTACTGGGATCCATACTCAGCAATGTATGCCTACATGGCTGAAGTAAATGCTGCCTATGGGTTTCCACCAATACCCTACCCTTCCATGTATCCCTCTCATCATTTTGCTCCTCTTATGTCTGCAAGGTACCCACAAGGTGGTAGCAGTGACTTGGATGAATGTTCAGGGTACTCATCTACAGAAGAGATGCCATATTATGGAGCTAATTTTGCTCATGGAATGGCCCCTGTGATGAATGATCAGTGTGGTACTGTGATGTCGACGTGTGGCTTGCCAGCACCACCACCTGCCATGCCAAGCATCATGGTCACCCAGACACCAAACAGTGAAGGCTCACTTGGGAAAGTAAATGCTTCTGGCTTCAAGAGCTCTGACAGAGTGGTGAATGCCAATAGCAAAGAAGTAAATGTAGAAGAGGGAAATTCACCAAGGCAAAAGACAGATGTTTCTCGACCCTCAAGTTCTGTTGACTTAGATGTCTACGAGACTGCTGAATCAGAAAAATGTTCTGACGACGAACAGGTCACTACTGACTCTGACACTGAAGTGGAAGAGGATAAAGATAACAAAGATGGGATAGGGTCAGGTCAGTTGCAGACTATTCGCTCTGTGTCAGACATTAATGTGTACAAGGACACGATGGACTCTGAAGAGCATGACTCTGAGGAAGAAACTGATGATGGAGAAGAGGAGGAGGAGGAGGAGGAGGAAGACAAAGAGCATTACTTAGAGGGAGAGGAGTGCATTCCTCATCAGCTGAGCATCATATATGAAGAAAGTGAACACAGTGATGCTGAGAGTGTGCGTCAGGCTGGTGGAGCTGGTAGCTGGTGCCCCACTAGAACCAGTAGCAGCATGACTACCAGTGAGGATGGGGACAGCTCCACCACTCTGGACAATGGTGATGATGATAGTGATGGTGATTACAGTGTCGTGGATAGTGAATCTTCTACAGTAACTGTGCGTTTGCCACTTAAACTTAAATTCAGTCGCTCTGAAAACGACGAAGAAGTGACCACTGTCATTGTGGGAGACAGTCAGGTAAAGCGACAAGAAGTTTCAGATACTGTCGGTGTGCCGGTCTCTGAGGAGGATGAAAATGTGAAGAACAGGGACAAGAAACCAAACCTGAAAGAGAAAGAAGGAGCTGCAAAGAAGGCTGTGGAAGGAGGCTGTACTGATATCTCAGTAACTCTTTGTTTTCCTTCAAAGCCAAATCTGAGTAAGAGAGTTGAAGAATGGAGACAAGACACTATCCAATACACCGAAAGTAATTTGACTGATACAAACAGTGATAATGTGATACCATGCAAAAGTTCAATGTCTAACAAATGCAGTAAAGGTACTGAAAGAACACGAACCAAAATTTCAAGTGATTTACCCCAACAGGCAATTTTGGATGAAGCGGATATTTACGAGACAGCGGACTCTGACTCAGATGTTTCTGTTTTCTTGTCACTTCCCCTGAGGAAGCGATCACAGAAAGGACCTGGCTCTGACAGCATCAACAATATATCAGAGGAAGAGGATGAGGAAGATGGGAAAGCTTCCAGTCATTGTGAGGATGATTCTAGTAGCACTACAAGTATCCAAACAGTTAGATTAACTTCAGAATCACGAGGAAGGTCAAGTGGAAGTGAAATGGAGAATGCAGTGACTGCTGATGAAGGTGGTGAAATTTCCAGAAACAAGTCAGATGGCTCTATTGCAAATCGCCGGCCTGAAATAAATATTTTGGAACGAGCTGCAGAAAATAATGTGAAAAGCAGCAAGGCACAGGATGAAAGTGTGAGAAGTGAGAGTGAGAGTGAAAATGATGATGGGAGCTCGGAAAGTGGTAAGACCTCCACAAGCAGTACAAGCTGCATCAGCAACAAAGAGGCCAGTTCTAAGAAGGGCAGGAAGAACTATGTAGCTTCATTGCATAATGATGATATGGTCAATGAAGAGGAGATGGATATTGAAGATAACAGCAGTGAAGAATCAGATGACAGCCAAGATGAGAAAGAGCATGATATCATTCAAAAGATTTATGATCTGTGTGATGCATCAGAGAAGGTATCTCAGACAGACCTGAAGCAAAGAAACACTGTTACAACCAAGATCAAAGAGGTTGAGCATAGCAGAGAGCAGAAAGACACAAACACAATGCAAAAATCAATAAGAAATGAAAAGGATAAACAGAATTCCAAGTCGCAAGAGGAGAGTGAGGAGGACGATTCTGGTGTCACTTCTGACATGAGTCGCCCAATTTCTGATGCTGACACAGAGTCAGAGGCAGGCAGGGGTGAACAAAGCCGCCTAATGCAGTGCCAGCGTGCTTCCACACACTCAAGACTTTTCAAGCTACTCCAGGATGAGTGTGGGAAAAGTGACAATGAGGATGAGGAGGATGGTGCTGCTATGAAGTCTCGGAGGGAGCAGCTGACATTACCTCTCTTTAACACTAATGGCAGTGATCCTGACAGCTTGTCCTCTTCATCTGGAGTGACATCACCTGCTTCCCCTACAGTGACAGATCGGCTGGTTAAAGAGCTTGTGCAGAGTTTATTGCAGCGGAAGAAAGGTCGTCGTTTGAAGAAACTGCCCCTTGCCAAGTTGCATGCTGCTGCTCTGAGGATACTACAGGAAGATATGGACCCATATGATACTGGAAGTTCTGAAGACAATTCCAGTAACCATGCCTACCTCTTGCCCACACATAGACGAAGCTTTCATCATTCCAATAACACTGCCACCTACCCCATGCCACCACAGCAGGTGATGTATGGGGACAACTACTATGATTACTGTGATTATTATGATTCCTGGGCCAATCCGACTTCCTGCTATGGCACCAATGGCTGCAGCGGATATGAGAGTGATATTATGCCGTCCAGAGCATTTAAGCTGCTTTCAGAGCATGCCCAACCAGGAGGATTTAGCTCAGGCATCATCAACGGTCTGTGGGCAAAGTGTCCGAGGATAACAAGTTCAAAAAACATGCCTAAAAATTTAACTGATGATACTGATAAGACTGACCTCAGTCCCTCTTCCTGTCCTGCACCTCCATCTAAATCAGCCCCAGCCTCTGCTCGAACCACGTGATGAGTGAGGCACAGAGCGAGCGAGTGAGAGAGAGATTACACGCACGTTCCTCCCACACATGTTCGATTGAACGGTTCTCTGGAGAGATGTTTTTGATAGACATATGAGATGTCTGTAGAAGGTCAAACCCAGGAGGTAACAACCCTCTTGTTCTACCATTTCTTTTTGGTTGTTTACCATTTTGTGATTTGAATTTGATTAGCTCATGTACTTGATTCACATGGTAGTTTATGAGTTTACAGTGGTATCTATTATTTTATCTTATTTTTGTATTTCACAGCTCCTAGATTCATAATTATTTTAAAATAAGACTAAACAATGAGTAAGTGTTGTCTCTATGGAGTAAACTCCACCTTTACAAAACTTGTGAAAGTCAAGACATAAGCTATATAAAGAACATACAAAGAATCCTGAGTATTAATATGACAGCTCATCAATATCTGAACTGCACCAAACGGTAATGTGAATAAAATATATTGATTGTTGTGTTCACATGATTCACATCAGCAACTAATGTTGCTTTAATGTGACTGTAGCTGAAACTGAGATAGTTTTCAAAACAAATCTGGCATTTTAAAATGTTAGGTTTCTACTTAACAAAACAGATACAGGCTACTCAAACATCATTAGCAGCTGGACAGCTATGATTAAACAAAACAAATGCATTGATTGGTAATGGAACCTTGCATCTTGCATTTTCTGTTGACACTTAATAAAATAATATAATTAACAATTTTAATTAGCAAACAGTCATTGTGATTGACTTTATAATTTTTCTCTGACACTTTTACAGACTGCTATAGAAAGGTGCAGTTTGCTTCAAAGAGATTTTTCACAGAGAATTTTTATCTTTTTTCTAACTGCATTCATGTAATGTCTTGGATGTATTAGGTTTTTCATCACCTTAATATGTATGTTACAGTTAATTTTAAATAACAATTGCTCTTTTTGGGACTAAATAGCATGATCAGCTTACTTTGAAGATGTACATGGTGTACTTATGTGTAATTTAGAACAGCTCATATCTTCATCTTATTATACTGCTAATCAATAAATGAATTTATTTTCTGTGCTGTGGAGTCAGAAAACCAGTGACAGGCATTGTGAATAATTTTTATTTGGATACATTAATATATCTTTTGGATCATTTTACTTCAAGAGGAGATTGGATGCTACTGTTCAGGTCTGTGCACATTTAGTAATATTTTTAACATAATTTATATAATTACTTAGAGATTTTTTTACTTTTAAAATTTTTAAGTACACCCTGAACTTCTCTTTGATGTACCTGCATTATCTGTGTGCCACAAGACAAGTTACGACTAACATTGCCTGTGCATGGAAGAATGTGTGTTATGTATGTGCATGAACGAGTATTTATTGCGTGTGGTTGTAATTAACAGATGGTACAGATCACTTCAAAGCTCTTGTTTTGGGATTCTTAATATCTCAGAATTTTTAGTGAATTTCTAGTATTTATGTAGAGCTTTTGTTGTACATTGAAACCCAAGGCAAGAATTATACAGAAAATTAGTTTCTTAAAAACTAAGTATGCAAATCACCTAACCTCAACTGTAATAATGTTAAATTAGTAAAATTATAAATGAATGCACAGAATTCCTAAAATTTCCTATGTGATTCAAATGGGGGGGGGGCAAATGCACACTTGGGATGTCAACAGAAAGATGTATTTTATTTATGAATGAGCCTGTCTGTTGTCTAAGTGGTAAAGTAAATTAAACTTAATATGGTAATAATTTCAACAAAATCAGCTGTCTAGTCAGTGAAATTTGTATGTCAATAAAATAATTCACAATTAATGCAATATGACAAACACAAAAATGATTTTGAAGGAAGCAATACTGATTTCTGAATGCTATAATTACAATCAATTATATTTCAAGAGGTGCCTATTTTAGTTTTAAATGACATTCAAAATCAGAGTCTCTAAACACACCATGTTCTTTTTCAAATTCC